GGCAGGTCAAGGATAATTTCCCATACTGACTGTATTCAAGAATCTTTTGCTGTTTTTTTTAAATGCATTTACTTGAAGCAAAAGCTTCTCCTGAAGAATGAGCTGTATGCCAGGGTGCAAGCAAGGAAGGCACGTGTTGCCAGTGAGTTGAGGGGTGAGCAGCCGTTTGCGTGGGCCTGGTGGCAGATGTGGCACGTGCCAACTCCGGGCTGAATGATCACAGATGTTTCTTCAGCTAATGCACTGACCAGACTGGGGTAGGGGGGTGTCTTACAAAAAGGCTCCTCTTTCTACAGTCACACGGACAGCCAGGATGAGGTGCCAACACCAAGGCTCTCCAGCCACTGCTTTGACTGGCCTTAGAAGGGGACCTAACCAAGCACTAGAAGATGAGGTGACAAAGGGCTGGGAACCCAGCCTATCCTTGTGATACAGCTGGTGGAAAAAGTGCTCTGTGCTTCCCCTCAACCAGCTATAGAKGGAAAGAGAGGCGCTATGGGGGAAACCCGGCAGGCAGGAGAGGAGGCTGCTTCCCCCACAGCCACATCCTACCCGGAGCACAAATAACCGGGGCCGTGCCACAAACCAGCGGGGTGGGTGGGATGGGAATGCCCATCGTCTGCATGCACAGACCGGCAGCAGCCTCGTTCTGGGGCTCTGCACGGGTCACGCTGTGAGCTACGAGAGTTTCGCRCTTGCCTGTTTGCGTCGCAAAGTGTTGGGGGATGAAGTTCCTCTGGGTCACAGGAGAAGCTGGAAGCTTGGCTGTGAAAGGCAAATTATATTTGCCCCTTCTAGCAATGTCTGGGAGGTGTTTTGCTTACGAAATGCAYGGGCTATTTTATTTGTATTATACTTTAGCTTTTCTGAAACTTCTGTGCAAATAAAGAACTTCCAGGCTGCTGTAATCTGGACTTCTCTGAAGGAGTCACTTTGAGAAAGAAAGATAATGAAAAGGAAAAGCTCTAAGAAATTACARTATATTTGGTGAAACTCAGTGTGAAATCTCAAGGTGGAGGTGCTAGACAACCTTGGGGAAAGGGCATTTCCTTCAAGTGTTTGAAAAGAAAAGCTATTTAAACTTTGAAAGAACTATTGGTTTTATTGCTGCAATATTTATGATCCTCTCTTTATAGGTCACGCAATCATTTCCTTAGTTATCCTTAATCTCCTACCAGAAATTCTTTCCCTCAGCTGGCAGCCAGCTTGGGCCGAGCACTCGCACTGCAGAAATGGAAAATAGCAAATCTAAACAAAGTGGGATCATTTATAGCTGCCTTGCTAAGTGCCGAACACATCTGCAGGCGGATCTGTTGCTGGGATTTAGCAAGGCCATTAGTGACATTCTGCTGCCACTGAAGGGAGGCACACGGCTCTGTGGAGCTCCCRAGGTAGGGCCATGGTAATTGTGGATAGTGGAGACGGGAAGGGCCACGGGGTCACCCAGGCCGCAGCGCAGCGCCAGGCGATCCACCAACCCACCCTCTCTAGGACCTGGTACTTGATTCTTCCACTTCTTTGGGATGCTACCTCACAGCCAAATCCACCTCGTCAGAAAGATGCTGCCAATTAGTATTTTAGGAGAGGCGCAGCACGCCTGAGAGGCACTGCTCTGAACAAAAGGCCTCGCTCCCGGTTTATCGGAGCGTCTGCCGTTGCCCTTTCACAATGAGGACACAGTAATACTTCCAACCTCTTTGTTCTGTATTTATGGCTGTGGCATTTTAATAAATCAAAAGTTTTTCTGGAAGGAAAAGTTGGAGCGGTCTCTGCTGGTTTCTCCCCCTTTTCCAAACCACCCCGAAAGCTGCTAATTCAGTCACAGAGCTCGAGTTAAACCTCTGCAAAGCCCGACAAGTTTCCACACAGCCACGGGGGTGAGGCTGGATTTTCACTGGCGTTAGTGACAGCCCAGGGTGACCAAGAGCTTCCTTTWGGCAACCAAGGAGACAGCCTCACAAGAACAGAGGCAGACGAGCCCTGGCAGCCCTGCAGCCAAACGGAGGGTGTCAGTGCAGACAGGCTCCATCTTGTTCTGGACTCTTCCATGCAAGGAGCACTCGCTGTTAAATCATTGGGAATTGGCCCGTGCAAGGCAGCGGTGTTAATATAAGGACGCTCCGGCCAGGGGCTGCAGGAGTGCTCTGCACTGAATGCCACTGCAAAAATTAAGAGGACTTCTGGAGGACCTCATGTCTTGATAAACGTGGTCTTCTTGAGCACAGCCTTGGGACAGGGCACTCTGGAAGAGTAGCTGGAATGTATACCTGTATGTAGCTGGAATGTATACCTGTCCGTAGCTGGGATGTATATCCGTAGCAGCAGTCAGAGGAGCTGCTGGGGCTGCTGTAGGCTCGGCGAGGACGTGGGCAGCCACGGGCAGTCCAGCAGCAGCAGCAAGCAGGCGCGCTGCAGGCAGCGAAGCCGACTAGAAGGGAGCTGCTGAGGGCCCTTGAAAGGGAACACGCTTTAGCCAAGTCCTTGAATCCAGAAAGAACATCTCGCTCTCTTTCAAGAGGAAAAGGAAAAAAAAAAAAAAAAAAAGAGGTGAGGAGGGAGGCTTTTGTTTTTGTTGGATTTTTTTTTTCCCCAAGCGAGGGAGCGAGAACCTGCTGTTTTGAGAAGGATCGTTTGTGCGTGACAAAATCCACATGAATCCTGGTCACCCCTTCCTTGCCCATGCAGAAAGAAAACACCAGGAAGCAGCACAGCAGGCCAAAAGCTGCTTTAGGCCCTGAGCGATGACTCTTCCCCCACTGCTGCCCACATGAGATTTACCAGAGCCTCTGAGGAGCACATCCCGCGGTGAGGAGAGCTCCTGTAATGGCTCCCAGAAATCCGTCGCGGGGCTTTGCCGGTCGCAGCCCCACCCRGAGCTCCSGGGGCAGCCGCGAGGAAGCTGCTGGCAGGTCCTCAGGGAGCAGCCGCGCTCGCAAACCTGGCGCTGGCTCCGCTGCCGGCAGCCACGGAGCAGGCGCTGGGGCAGCGTGCGAGTCACCGCCTTTACCAGGGGCCAATTTGGGTAGGGAAGACGCAGCAAGTCGGCCCACCCAGCTCTGCTGCTTTACTCCAGCAGCGGCTGGAATAGCTGGAAGCAGAGGCATGGGAAGGGCTGCCGGCAGCTTCGTCAGGGTGGCCCAGCAGCCCTCGTACGGGGTGGCCCGGATCCACCTGCCTGCCACATGCCTAGGAGCCTCAGCTGGAGGCTTGGTGCTAGATGAGATGTTCTCTGCGGCGTGTCCTGCTGAGGCTCGCAGCCCGTTTCCCYGTGGGTCTCCATGGTCCACACGGGTCTCCTGCAGTTCATGCATCCAAGGGGAAGGAAAAGACTGCGGCCGATCAGAGCCKGGAGGTGAGAAGCACATGTGACAAAACACACCCTCCCAGTGCAACCCAGGCCCGGGAGCCAGGAAGCCTCCCGTGTAACAACCCGCTCCGTCACATGGAACCGCTTCCCCTCATTCTTCCCACTGTCATCCTYGTTCTTGCTGGCACTGAGATGTTTTTCAGTAACCATGAGGTTATTTTTAACTTCTCCCGGTTCTGTGCTTTCAAGCAGCTTTTCTCCTCCATCTTTTTCTATCCAGGACACTYCCTTCTTGAATTATTCTCACTTCGTCTGTAGGTCCTGCTATAATCAACTCTGGCCCATTGGCAACTGTCAGCCAGCAGTCCATGACTCCACAGTCATAGCACAGACCTCCAAAATATTAAAAAATAAATATATGTTTATGTTATGCTTTGTTATCAAACAACAATGTTGTTTGCTTCCTTATCAAACACCAGATTTGGAAACTTCAAGAGAAAAGGGAGAATGTGAAGGCGGAATAACACGCTGTGTGGAAGATTTTAAACATTAAGTTGATAGTCAAAACTGAAGYTTTATTTTTCTATGTGTTTTTGGGGGTGGGTGCCTGAAAGAGGCACAATTTACTATGCACTTGGATAGAAAACTGCAATCAGATTTCTCTACATACATACATACACACAGACACACACGTTTTCTGCCTTGCACCGTTTTCTGCCTTCATCTTCCAGCAGCTTCCCTGGTTCTCCAGGTCCTGTTCCTCATTTTCCCCTTTTCTTCTTGCAAAACATCATGCTTGCTGTGGTGCCCAGCTCGCTCCAGCAAGGACAGGCAGCCTCTTTCCCTCTGTCCTTGGTCTCACAGGRAAGCATGGATGGTCACACTGACCTTTACTAGGGACAGTCTTACCTTTATGTGCACAGACTGGGGAGAGATGGCAACCATTCTGCTGGCTTTGATCTCATTAATAACAAGGGGCAATGGGAGCTCTTTTGAGTATGAGGAAAAGTCTGAATTAAAATAAAAAAGAATTAAACAACACACCCAATTAATTAGAACCACAGCAAAACTTGGAAAACTGCCATCTTAAATTACTATACAGCTACAACTCCCAGCAGTGAAGGAGGGAAAAAAAAACAATTTTCACTGCCTCCTGCTAATCCTAATAAGACTTGGGGATGGAAAGACAGGTAAAAGCTTTCCCTAGCATCAGGGTTGATGCTATGTGTCGGTTGATGTTACCAGAAGTGCAAATGCTCCTTATTTCCCCGCTTGCATGTGCAACTACATAGCCACAGTTCCTGCAGCACAGGAGGGAGCTGGAAGGCATCTGCCCCTGCCCTCTTCTCCCCAGCCCTGATTCTTCTCTTGCGAGAGAGACGGGTGACACAAAGAGGCACAGAAGCGAGCCCTGCACATGAAGCTGTAGGTAGTCTTGGTGCAGTGCAAGCTCCAGGGTGCATCCAAACCTGCAGTCTTTCTTTGGAAAACGGAGCGGGAAAGAGCCTCTATAGCAGCTACCCTATGTCTAGCTGTTAAATTTTAACRCTGTCCTGATGACAGGGGAGGAGATGAGACAATAAAGCACTCTAACTGCTTTCACATATGTGTCCGTTAGTCTCCCATTTAGCTTTAGCTGAAGGTGAAATGAAACAGTTTTGCAGAGGCTTCTCCTAGTGTTGAGTATAACAACCTGAGGCAAGTGGATGGGAAAGGGAGGTTAAACGGTAAATAAAATTTTGTTCAGAGTGTCGCATGACCTTTAGCCTCAGCACAAATGCTCCAGTCCTGGCCAATAATTCATAAACACACTGGTTCATTTTCAGCACTGGAAACACAAAGCAGGCAACTTCCCCTGCTAAAATAGTGGGAGAGGGGGAAAGTGGTAAAAAAAAAAAAAAAAAAAAAGATTGTTTGGTTTAAAGAATACAATATTATTCAAAACATTTTCCTAAAAGCCTTTTTTTTCCATTAAAAAAAACACATGTTAACATTGTTTTGCTGGAAATGGAGATATTTAAAATAGCTTCAAATAATGTTAATGAAGTATTGTTTTAACATTGCCTCCGGGAAAAACAAAGCAAAATACTATTCTAAATTGTTCTCTCTGTAAGAGCAACTGCCATCATACTGGTAATTTTTTCCCTTTAGCTGTGGGCTGACAACCTCCTCTCTTCCCCATCTCCTTTCAACAGTATTATGTGAGCACAACAGCACAACTAATTGAACTTGTGCTAAGTACTTGCCCATTATGTGCATGATGTTCTCCTGTTACTTTTGCAACAGTATGTCTTTCCCAATCATGGCATATAAAAATAGGTAATGTCAAAATAAGCCCACTGTACTAGCAATAGTTAGAGATGGGGACGTGCCTGCCTGGGACTAAAAGCTCAGATCCTGAGCACTAACAGTCATTAGAGCTACTTTGCAAGACTTTGTAAAGCAGGAATGTTAGCACTAATCACATGGCTGATGTACAAATTTGAAAATTACATTTGACATTATCCCCCTAATTTCCTCCTGCTATTTCATTTAGTTTTAGTATTCATTACTTCTTCATTTTTTCCCTTAAATTGCTTTTCTGTTTATTTGCTACTGTTATAGGTGACCTAGAAAGGAAAAAATAATTGGGTTGAAATCTGCTCTTCACTATTTTAAATAGAAATCCCTTTTTCCTGACTGTTCCTACAGCTCCTGGGCATATGAAGTCTTAGTTTCTTTTTCTCTTGCCTGTTCCCTGAAAAAGCTATGAGAAGGATGCAGGAAAACAGTTTAGAAATCTTTGCACTGCTTAATTGAAGGTACAGGAAATGGTGAATCCTTAGCAAATCTCTTTTCCAGTCATTATTGGGATAAATACTTTTAAATAAGGATAATTACTATTTTAAGCAGTATCCAAATGTTTCCAGATATTCATATTCTCTCTCTTTGATATTTTGATGTCACATTCTGGTTGAATCTTCACTAAAGTCTTCTAAGTAAAAGAGAGATAAAAATTCAACTTCCCAGAGAAAAAGGAAGCAAGAAAATTGCCTAATCAGTCTGTCTTTAACAGGAGAACATAAATTCTTTTATTATTTATTTTACAAATCACCTTCTCAACAACTGCCTTTTTTCACTGCTGGTTGCATTTCAGAGGTGGATATCTGTATCATTTGTTATGACTGTATCATTTGTTAAACACCATGTTTCATACCAAACTACTTAAACATAACACACAACAAAGAGCAGGAGCACATACTTGACTGTGGCTTTCCAAAAGGTAATCCATCTCTATTAGTAATGCAGACACTTAAATAGATCATCTCTGTGCCCTCTGCATCGCTGCTGCTTAAAATATCTAAGGCAGAAAAAGAAAAAAAAAAAGAGTTAGGACAGAATATTGTTTTTTTCCATGTCAGTAGTTTTTACATGACTGCCTATTCAGAGTTCACTCAGGCATTACAATTTTAAAAACTAGCAAGTCTATGAAAGAGGTTATGGCTCTGCTGGAAACAGACATTAAACCAAGTGTCAGCTCTTTAAAAAAAAAAAAAAAAAAAAAAAAAAAAAGACTTTTAACTCCCAAATATCAAAACTGCTCTTAATGTTTTGAGTCTTTGCGTTTCTGCATTTGGGACTGTGCCAGGCTGGCAGTGCTCCCTGTTTGTTCTGAAAAGCCCCTTCATGCAACCTGCTCCTGCGCTGTATCTCCATGACATGCAGTATTGTTTGCCTCTCGGGTATCAAAAATACGTTTAATTTTTAAAGAGATTTTTAAAAGGAGAGGCCAAGCATTTTCATGCCCCAAGGCTAGGAGATGGAGCCCAACACAAAAGGAAGCCCCTCCATCTGCCTGAGGCTGCAGCCAGCGTGGCGTTCGGTTTGTTCTACAGGCCCAGGCCCAGCTCACACAGAAGGCAAGGGGGCACGTCCCCAAAAGGGGCACACTGATCCTGACTGGAACCATGTGGCTCCAATGGCCTTTCACATCATTTACCAACCACAGAGCAAAGAGCTTTCCGCTGTCCGTTCAACCTTTCCCAGGACTTGGAAATGCACCCACAGCACAGCGTAACACTGACATCCAGTGGCTAAAAATAGGCAGTTTCACCGCCCAAATTGATCCCATTTTCTGGACAATAACAGCGATAGGCGAAGTGGGAGAAACTAAGCAAAAACTGTTTTTTTTCCTAAACGTTTGGACTGATGAGACCCAGAAACTGGCCAGAGAGTTGTCACTGCCCCTAAGGCACCAGTGAACCTGGGCAGGAGCATCTGAGGCTGCCATTAGTACTTCATAGAAACCACCACCATCTACTCACTTGCTCCACTTCACATTTGTTTTGCAGGAATTAAAAAAAAAAAAATAGTTTTTGCTACACTGCTAAATGAAGTTTTTGGCTTCCCAAGCAAAATAATTCTGCACAGCTTCGCCTTGCTTTCCATGTACTGCCACGAGCACAGCTGCAAAATCCCTGAGCAAAGCACATGAAGGAAAAACTTAAACTTGCAAAAGTACCAATGAGGGGAAATGGGAGTGAAGCACTGATTTTCTTTATTCCTTTTTTTTTTTTTTTTTTTTTTTTTTAAGCTTATGGCAAAGACAAGGTCAGTATCTTGGACAAATCTTTCTTTCCCAGTGTGTGTCAACCTATATTCACTCTATGCTACCGATTTCTGCTTACAGCAAGAAAAATATACATGGAAACAGAAACACATCCTGCTACATGAATCAACTCTGAGGAGAGACCTCCAAACCTCCAAATTATAGTACTACTTTGTGTTGATTATACTGTATCTTTTGCATGGTTTAAAGCACTATGGGGCAAATATATACAGACCCAGCATGAAGCCTCCTCTGTCTTCAGGGGGCTTTTTTCTCTGTATTTGTGAAAGGAAAAAAAACCATCTACCATTACTAAATGGAGGAGCCTTCAAAAGAGTCAAGCCTGTTTACTGAGTCAAATAGTCTAGTTTCACATGGATTTTGTCTTGTTTGTTCTTCCAAGCATTTCATTCACTTTACAGATGAAAGACACATACAAAAAATATATGGTGTGGCTTTACTTGGAGAGCAGRAGGGGAAAAACATAAAATGGGTACTGAACCAACTCTTGTCTTTGCACTGCTCACATTGTCTCCCCTTTCCAACRTGCTTTTCCCTTGACAACAGTATTCACTGCTTTTGCTGTGCTCACAGCCATTCCTCCTAGGAACGAGTAAYTCATGAAAAGCTCCAGGGCTCCTCCAAGGCAGGCTGTCTTCTYGCTCAACATCCAAAGGGCTGCTCAGCAGCACAACAGGGTCGTCCCCTCTCTAGGGTTTCTGTTCAGCACCAAAAAGGCGTTTTTCAGCTGCACCAAAATTCTGTTGATTCTGCTCCATGCCTGCTCTCAGTGGATATCAAAGGCCAACATTCATTTTTAATGCTCAAATTTATTAATGATACTGTAGTCACTATGCAATCTCTTATCACAGATTTTTAAGAATGCTGTTCACAGCTTCTCCCTGAAATTGAGGAGAGTCACTTTCAGTCTGTACAACCTGCGTAAGAAAATGACTTGTAGAGATACTCAAGACTGAGCTGTCTGAGGTGTCTCCTGGCCTGAAAACCTCAGGTTTTGAGTCAAAAGAAACTGCAGTCGTTTTYCAAAGCACAACTGGCAAAACGCTGCTTCATGGAAGTGAACAGCCAAGCTCCATCAGCCTTTAAAAATGCAGGTTCTACATGTAAGTTTAAAACACATGGTAGCAGAGGTGAAGCTGCATTTCTGACTGCTCCAAGATTGCTTAAAATGGGCCTCTGTCGCTGATGGCAAACCAAGAGGAAACAAGAGTGCCAGCAGGAAAGATATGGAACTCAATAAAAATTAAAATTAAAACTAAAAATTAAAATTAGAAAAGGGGAACCAGGCGGACGGAGGCCCCGGAGGCACGGTGCTAAAGGGAGGCGCCGCCATGACACCTCGTAACTGACCTCTCCCCTCGCAACGGGCCTCGCGGCGCCCGGTCACGTGCGCCGCCGCGCGGGCCACGTGGGGCCGAGCACGCAGCGCCGCCCGGCAACCGCCCGCGCCACTTGATTGACAGCCCAGTCCACCAATCAAGGGGCGGCGACCATGGCGGCCGCTCTCCTCCCTCGCCCGCCGCCGCTGTTTCCCCCGCCGGGCGGCACGGCGGGCCGCTGCCAGTTGGCTGCGGAGGCACCTGTCCGCCGCCAATGGATTCGCGAGTCCCATGACCGACGTCCTCCCGGTCCAATAGACTTGGCCGTTTCCAGGAGGGCGTTGCCCTAGGGGGCGGGGCGTTAGGACCCGTTGGGGACAGTGCGGCGTGTGGCGTCGTTACCGTTTCCCGGCGCGGGCAGAGATGCTCTGCCTCTGCGGSTGGCGCTATATTCGTTAGCCGCCACTCTGTCTCGCCCTTGCAGCCGGCAGGCGAAGCGGCTAGAGAGAAGAAACCTCACGTAGCCYCTCCCGCCTCAGCGGAGGAGGGTCCGCAGAGGGCGGCGGAAAGGCGGCCAAGGCCCCCAACTCGGTGGGCGGGACGGCACGCGCGCYGCGCTGTGACAGGCACACCGAGTCACCAATGGCGTGCGAGGACACAGCCTGCGAGCCAATCCGCGCTGTGTGGAGGCGGAGCAAGTAGGGGCGGGCAAGCGGGCGCCCCATTTAAGGGGCAAACCTTAGAGCCAACTGGCAGGAAGGAGGAGGGGGCGGCAATGTCAACACACGACAGCGTGTGTAACCAATGAGTGCGGGGGCAGTGACGAGGCCGTCCAATTAGAGGCGTGAGGAGGCGGGGCCCCACTCTGATCGACAAGRGCCGTGGCTAATGGGCGGAGAGATGGCGGGTTCTCTTCCCAATGGGCAGCGTGCAGGCGCGGAAAGGGGAGAGGAGGGAGCGGACGGGCAGGCGCTGGCCCCAATGAGCGCGGAGGCCGGCGCGGCCCCGTCCAATCGGCGGCGCGCGGGGCGGCGCGGGGGCGTGTCCCGGTGTGTTTGGGTTCGTGCTCCTCGGGGGAGGGAGAAAGACGGCGGCGAGGAAAGTTTTTTTTTTTTTCCTCCCTTTTTTT